GGGGCGTCCCGACCGAGGCTTGTCTTCGAAGTCCGTGTCTCCTTCCTTGAAGCTAGCGAACCAGTGGTGTCCTCCCCCATACGCTGTTGATGTTGCGAACGGTTGCCGTCGCTCCGGTGCCGCGGCGCCACTCGTAGAAGATGATGTATCGAACATGGTCTCGTGGAATTGACATCGTGATTAAGCTAAAGGAGGAAGCGCGCCTATATATACCCATTACGGAGAAGGTTCTAGAATGTTCTACCACTACCACATGGTAGATCATTGGTATCGATCAAGAATCGAAAGTTCTGGAACTTTCAAAAAACCCTATCAAAACTTATTCTTATCTTCTATTATATAATGCCGACAGCAATTTTAACTAGTATCTTTTCAACCCTTACTGTCCTCCGGTACGAGCCAACGCGTCGTTAATTCTCACGTTCTGCTGCTTGATCTATGAGGAGATTTCTTGCTTTCTCTTCTGATTCTATCTAAAATGTAGATAGATTCCTACATAACTAGCAAGTGCAGCCCGACATATATTCGCTCGTCCAAAATGTTCATGCGGATTCATGTATAACCGCTTGGTAGTGACGATCTGGTTCCAGAATCCGCGAACGGCCTCCATGTCTTGAGGTGCTGGGTTAAGACCAATAAAAACCTATCAAAACTTTTTGATCAACCTAATATATGATACATGCAGACTTATGGGTAGATGCGGAGTACTATGTTTGCTATCTGATGTTATGTGTTTTTACCAATTCAATCCGCTTTGTTTGTTTCCTATAGCGGTTGCATAAGTACTGCGGAAGTCGTGAAACTAAACAGAAAAACTAAACAGAACAGGCCAAAATCATAGAACAGTTTTTATCATTGTACAGTTTACACTGACGACTCTGATCCTAAGCTTACGAGGGTATTGCTTACAAAGTTTATGTTGACATAGTTCAGCGTAAGAAATCGAAGCTATTAGTTCTTTCAGCGTCCTTCGGGGGTTCCCACAATTTCCATGATGCTTAGTAGTTTACGACACGTCGTTTGAAATAGTGTTTGGACGAATAGTTTCTTTGAAGTCCCTCACCTTTTTAGGTCCTGTATGAACGAAATTTACCAGTTTTTTTTTACAAGCTCAACTACTGTTTTCAGAGTACTGTATATGGAAGAAGAATGACAAGATTACTAGAGTGTTGGACTTCCGCTCTCAATTCTTTTTATCGCTTCTCCAATTTTTGTTTTGACGGAACGATCTTGACTGTCAATACCCACAGTGCTTACACAGCAACATTGCCACCTTCGAATTTATTAACGACTTAGCCAGCTCTCAACCAACTCTTAGGGTACCAGATTCCTTCCCTGCCCAATTAGCCCGGTGCGCAGTCGCAAGGATTGTCCCTTTTTCGCGGCTCCGCAATGAGTGGCGCTGGCGCTGCGGACATTTAAAGTTGCAGCTATATACGGTACACCGTAAGACTACCGTTATAAGTGCAACATATGGTTAGGATGCAACATATGATAGCCGCAGCGTCCCTCGCCACAATTTCTGGGTGATCGGCAGTGACGGCATTTTGTACTTATATGGTACAATCCATTTGTCGATGTAGTCGTCAAGGAAAAGGTGTTATAGACTCGTTTGTGGCGGTTCTGTTGATGACAGAGCCGCTAAAAAGGCTCAACCCAGAAATCCGAATCGCTTTGGTGATTACCAGTTTGTACCCCTAGCGCAAGCCAGTGTTGCGCTGTTAGGCGCTCAGAGTACAAGGTGCGTTTTGATCTTATCCATCCTTTTCGGCGCACGTGGGTATTATGCGGTCGTCCTCACTCATTCTTGATTCTCCTATTTCTCCGTCCGAGAACAGACAAAGTATGACCGAAAATAGACATACGTGTCCACCATGTCTTTGTCTACATGGAATCCGATGTTCCAACCGGAAGGGTAGTGCAAATCAAGGAAACCTCGCCCCCAATGCCGCGCGCGAAAATCGGCACTTTACGATTCTCTTGCCCGTCTCCCGCATGTTCTTAGCAAAGCATTAGCCATAAAAAATAAACAGATATAGGCTTGGATGATCAAGTGAAAAAATAAGAGATTAGTAGAAGTTTACAGCAAGCAACAGTGAAGATTTTGCTCAATCTCACCATTTCAGAAGCCCTTTCAAAAAAATGTTCAAAAGGGACTCGAAAGTAGTGTTGGAAAACGAAATGTGTCCAATTTCGACAAAGGGATTCAGGGTTCAACAGAAGATCTGTTTTGCACTTCTTATCTGGAGTGTCGCAAAGGATGAATGCAACCTGGTGGCCCAATCCACTTCGTCTCATGGATTCGAGTGTTTTTTCTTCAATTTCGTCATGCTAACAAGTGAACCTTTATTGAAAGTAAATTGAGTTAATATTTCTACCTCACTATTGCCCTCGAAATTAATAGAACTGAACATAGTTTTGGGGTCGTTGTGGTTTCCTTCACAAGAATGTCTTCCCTTATGTTTTTCTTCTTCAACTATCTTGCCGAACCCTTCCAGTTTTTTTAAGCATCCATCCAAACTCCTATTTCTTTTTTATGGTTGCATCATCTAAAGATGTCCTTTCCCTATGAAATTTTACAAAACAGTATCAACTTATTTAGTGTTTTCGCGCGCGACGATCGTGATGTTGCACAGACTAACATATCTACCGGACTTTGGGTTATATCTGGCGTATTTGTTTCGAAAGCGTCTAGAGGCGATGATGGATTCACACATGAGTGTGTGGAAGAAGATTGAACATTATTGCTAGAATATCCTGAGATTTTTCGAGTCAGTCTTCTTGACAGACCATCTTTTACTGTGACTCATCACAATTAGGGTCCGGTATTCATTACTCGATTTTGAAATGCCTGTAATGCCTTATAAGTCTTCTGCGGGTCACTGAGATCGGTGTGACTCATGTGATGGAAGAGCTTCTTGGTTAAGCCTATCCAAGGCAAGCCTGTCATGATCGTAAGGACTTCGCAAGAAACCAGTTCGGCTTGGTAATGCTGTGAAGCTATTTTATAGCAGCGTTTCCGCTCGACAAGAGCTCACACGTCTCACCAAGATGAAAGTGTAATTCAACAGGAACTAGCAAAAGAGACTAGCGAAAGTGCAATTTCCCCTCCTATGCCGAACGGCGCCCGCGAGAATGCTGAGTTATAGGCAAAAGATTGGGCGTGGGCGCCCCACATTCACGGCATGAGGCGCCATCCGCCGGGCAGACCATTGAGAGGTTATCGGTATTTTCTCTTTCAATGTGCAGCTTCTGCTCCAAGACCGGAAGCTATGATATATCAGCCGTTCGTTCTGCCCGCTCGGCCGCTAGAGCCCGATCTAGTGGAATTTTTTAGGATAGACGCCGTTACCTCTTCACCCTGCAAGACTTCAATAGCGTGTTTAATTGTAGGGGTCTAACCACGACGTCACCTGAAAGTGTTGGGAGAAATGCAGTTTTTCTCTAGGCCCCATTTCATCATGCATAGGAGTTACCTCGCTGACGACTTCAGATGTTTTCCTGTTTGGCCCACAAATTGTGGTCCCTGGTCATACTCATGCATCGTATGCCAAACCTTTTGAGTTTGTATTCATTCGTTTGCGAATGCAGGAGTGTCTTGCATATTCTGCATGGAGTGGCCATAGGGTAGCGAAATTGACATCATTTTGAAATGTGTTCTGTTGGAACGCTGTCGATGGTTCATTCGATGGTCTATGTGCGTTTTTATGGAGGTCGGCATCGATTCGTCGCGCCCCGAGAGGGCAGCAGCTGAGTGCCGTCGTTGTTCTTATTTGGTTTGGTCGACGATGATTTGTAGTTTTCTTCGCTTTGTTGATACTGAAGAGGAGTACTTTTGCTTCTGATCAACCTAATATTGTCATCTGGATCAGGAAATCATCGATTTTAGCGTACTTCTGATTGAGTGACTAGGGCATACGGTTATTTCAGAGTACCTGGCTATCACGTGCCGGCATTACCTAAACTACATAGTCGATATAAGTATTGGTCTTGTGGTGTCGTCGCAATGGACCTGCTGATCGCCTATACTCCTAGGTTTCAGTATTTCGATTCTTTCTTTCACCACATGTGCTGGTTCGCTAGAATAGCTCATTTGATTGACGTGCCAACCTAAATGATTAACTCCTAATCACTGTACTTTCTAATATTGGAAGACTTTTTTCAGCTTCAAGGCCAACCGGAGTCCCTGGACTTACGTAAATCTTGGCATACACATGCTATGCGATATGCCTGCTTTTCAGGGCCTGTCCGAGTGTTTGGTAGTATTGATTGCCATTTGCCAGGAATTCGGAGGGCTTGCAGATACTGTCTACATAACTCAAGGTTCGACAAATGTTGTCGAAGGGTAACTAGTCCATCAATATGTCGCGTCACCTAGCAGTATCTTCTATCTGTTCGACCAAAAAAAAACGTAGCGCGTTAAATCGATCATGGGAGCTAAAAGAACCGTGGAGCATTTGAAGGACCACTTGTAGGAAACTGGTAATGACGTCATACAATGGAAGCACCCTGTTCACCAATCTCGGGTTCCTCCTCTTCTAGGGTGACGCGGAACTCCTCACTTTCGTTGCGGAACTTCCTATTTGCACATGAATTTCTTAAATGCCCCCACCCTAGATAATTAGCGCTCAGTTATGTATTGGTGCGAAGTCCCTCTTGTGACGCCATTTGCGCCGCTTTCGTCGCGTCGCCGCAACGTGGATCCCCAGCCGGCGCTCCTTGTGAATGTGCCGCGATATTTGGCATGGTTCAAATTGCGCTAGAATCAGTTCTTAGGTTATGCAGTGGCTTGTTGAGCGCCCTTGATGGAGGGACAAGAGTTAGGCTGACCATGGGTTTCATTTTCATGAGTCGTAAACGCGCTGCCCCGCTTGCAAGCAGCACGCTCACCGAAAGAAGTATTACGGTACTCCATGACTAGCTTCTACTGTATTTAACAGTGACATTTCCATTACAGTCTGCCTTCCATGGTACGGTGGTTGAACGAGATAGACACATCTATGAGCGATCTTCGATATGGGTTTCTCTACGAGTTAAAAGACGTCGTCATGAGTAAGTATTGAACACTCTAGCAATTTGAATATAGCTGAAAAAATATATCAATTTGGCAGTTATTCTCAATAAATTTCATTCTGTTCTACACCTTGATAAAGATACTGAAATCTGACCCTATTAAGAACTCAACGATCCCTCGACGATTTTGTATGACGTTAGTGGTGTGATGTCGACGCTTGCCAAGCACAATTGGAATATTACTGTTGGTAAGTTGTTCAGTTGAGGCCTCAAAAACTCGAATAAAGTAGAGAGGAAGACATGGTAGTGACTATTTTCTAATTTGAGTTGGCCACGCGCTGCTCACGTGATATGCCTGAAACCTATCATAAAAGTTCGCTAGGCCAAGCCTGACGGTGGTGGTGGATACTAATTTCTTATAAGGGTATTGTGAAATATCTGAACTGCATAATTCAGGGGTCGAACATGATCTACACGAGTTGCTCAATGTGTTTGCAACTACATGGGAAGAGGAATTGCAGGAGGTGAAGAAACGGCTGCTTTCTTCATCCTTGTGGCAGTTCAATGAGGTTTGTGGAGAATTAGTCTTGATCAATCGAGAATTGGTTATCTTTTACCTCATCCTCGCTTGACTGAAGCGCTTGTGAACCTATTCTTGAATTACAAAGTGTTCCTTGCAAGGGCTAGCTTTTGGCTAATGTCTTGGAGTAGGATGAGCTCTTCTTCTCTGCACTTTGTAAATGCTTCACTTGTCTGCGTCCTCTTCTGAACTCTTCATCGATTGTTCGAGCGCTGTGAAAATTTTTAGAGATTCCATAGTATTCTCGTAAGTTTTTTGTCAGAATAAGCAGGGTATGATATTTTCGTTCAAAATTACAGTAGAGGCTGGCTTACACAAAAACCTTCAAGCACTGATCGACGTTCAAGTCAGTTATACGAGTGTTTCTACCAGATTATAAACCCCAGAGGTGTAGTATTTACGCTTGGCTGGTCTGGGCGCTATTTGATCTAGGATTCGATCTCCGTACCATACGTGTCAGTTGCCACTCCCCTACTTCTCTTAACGACAACTTAAGCCTTAATTATGAAGAATTCAACATTACCCGACCCATCTTAGTTGCGCCGCTCATTCTGCTTCGACTATAAACCCTAGTGGCATCTGAATTCCACTATACATGGCTTTCGAGGCCTGCTCAAGTTCAACTTAAGATTCCTATCCTATCAAACCAGACTGGCACCAATAAAATGACCACAAAGGCATGGTTGCGTTGGCATCGTGTTGGACCCCGGCTCGTTCTCCGGGAAGATGATATTACTTGCCTTCAGACTGCCTCCGTCTCTAGTCATAATTACACGCATCAGAGTCTAACCCAGGTCAGACTGAAAACCAGTCACCTATGGTTTGGGGTAAGGTCGAATTCGGCCTGACCGATAAAGGGTGTACAATATGTAAAAAGGGTAATAAAGGAGTGAGTGAGCGGTAATAAGGGTATTTTCACTTTGATGAAATGTTAAAATGCTGAGTGTTTTTCAGTCGGAATTCCCTCATGAAAGTGGACCAAGAATAGGCGCAGGATCTGGAGATGCGCCCCTGTCCCCGATCAGCCGAAGGGAACTTGTTTTCCAGAGGTTTGCAAATTTTCAGTTCATTAGTTAAGAGAAAGAAAAATTTTGTAGTCGGCGCAACAATCGATTGCGCGGTAGACGGCGGCCCGTATTGACTACCCATCGACTCCTACTGAGCGATGAAAGCCTTTTGATATCCGTTCTATTTGCCTTAAATTGTGCAGGAAGCCGAAATTAATGAGTGTCATGTTCGTTAAGTTATGAGTGAGAAATATATTGACTAACAATCAATAGCATGCCTTTTTAGGTGTGCTGATGTAGT